CTCTTCTGCAAGGCAGCTCTCGACGAAACGCTTCATGACATCATCCTTAACTGCCTTGACATCACCCGACCTAGGAAGCAGAGAAAAAGCCCGTGTCAGCAACAGAAACAGCAATGTTTGGGTTGTCCCAGCCCCATTTCATGAACTTACGTTGCAGAGTAAGCCCCAGAATACATCACCTCAAGATAAGAATGAGCTCGGTCGAGGCTGTGGTTTGTTGACTGGAGATTTGCTTCAAGCCATGCGTAATGCGAGTGGTAGTATTCAGATATGATATGATTGGGAGGAGCCCCGCCACCAAACGGGAGCCTTTCGACGAGCAAACAGTTGAACTTGTCCATACACTTTAGCAGTCGTTCTTTCCGACCTGTGGCAGCTTCAATGATTGACAGCAGGGACACCAACGTTTCCCTTTCCGCGACTTTCTCTACAAGTGCGGTTCGCGCATCCTCCGGCTTCCTAACGATGCCTCCGACTTCGCGTTGGTGGCTCATTGTCATCAAGTTGGCCATCTCAATGTCGCACGTAACATCGTTCGCCACTATAGATGGAAAATGAAAACAGAATCTGAGTTCCAGGATACAAAGACCATCCAGCGACAGCACTGGCAATTGAATACTTACCGGGAAGAGATGCATAACTGGTGCCATACGGCATTGCCCCGGTCTCCACGAAATTACCTGCTTTTGCCTTGTAGTAAGAACCACACAAATGGCGCGGAACGGCGGGTGTGAGCACTCGAGGAACTCCATGGCTGGCCACCTCAGTATCAGAGCAGAACTGGCAGCCAAGCTCTGGTCGTTCGAATTGGATAAGATAGCGTGCAGTATGAACATCGTGAAACAACACAGTGCCCCTGTGGAGAACTAGGAAGCGTTTGTTGTACGCGGTGACGGTTGCACCAACCCTAATGGGAGCAGGAATGTCGTATCCAGTGTTGTTGTCTGCATCGGGGTTTCGTTGCAAATGCCTGATCTGGTTTCGAAACTCATTGCGTTCTTTCAGTTGCGAGAGTACAAACTTCCTCGAGAAACGAAGTGGGCGCTTGCGAATCATTCTTCGAACCAGACTCCATTCCCGCCTCGTCAACTTGGCCGTAGGCGAGATTCCGAGCTTGGCCACCTCTTTTGCAAAAGTGTTGCTCGAGTACCAAGGCCTGTCCAAGTCGCTATAGAAGAATTCATGAATTGCCCAGGCTCTGGCACTCCCATTGAGGCAGTTGATGAGTTTGTGGCACCACAGGCCGTAGACATCGTCTGCGTGACGTCTTCGGAGAGGCTCTTCGTATTCTGCTTCGTAACCAAGAGCAGGGTTGACGGCATCCCATGGAGGTGGCCGATGCGTGATGCCCCATTTCGCGAGCTGATCTGGGATGTCCATGGTGTTGTTCGCGTCGGCTTCTTCTCGCTTTGGTTTCGTTCGGGTGGACCACATCTGACGCCGTTGCCAATCCAGAAGTGGTAGTGACACGGGTCCACGAAGAGGCCTAGAACCGGCAAGCTTGCGGCTAAAACCTTTCCTCTTGCCAGGTCGAACGGGGCGGATTTTGCGACGACCCCCATCGTCGTCGCTGCCACTGTCATCATCACGACCTCTCTTTCTGTTTGAGCGTACAGGTGTGTTGAGAATGCTGCTCTTCCTTCGTTCCTTTTCCGCCAATTGGCGTTCCCGCCTTTTCTTTTGATATTGACGGTCGCGCAATCGCTTCAGCTCACGTTTTCGTTCCTTGAGAGAGAGCCTTTCTCCTTCGTCTTCCGACACATGCTCGCCATCGACAAGAACCTTGGTCACAAAAGGTCCCTAGTTTCACCAAAGATATAGTCGTCACCACAACGAGCAAGCCCTGCCATGCTGTCTTCTTCGGAGATTCTAGCAACCAGGGGGCGCATCGTAACGGGGTCGAAGGTGGACTTTAATTTGGCCGAGTCGTCATCACTTGGAGGGTCTCGTCGTCTGCTGAGAGAGTCTCGTCTACTGTAGGACCTGGAGCCGGATCTCTTCCTATCTTGCGGCATGACTTTTCTTTCTCTGCTCTGGATGCTTTCAAAAGGCACCGGATAAGGTCCTGCAGTTGGTTCCATCTCTTCCACGGCATCCAGCAGCGACTTGAGTCCAAGGTTGTCCATAAAGGCGAACTCTTCCTTCTTTTTGATTCGCGTGGTCCTGGCCATTCCTCTGGTATACCGTCGTGGTGCTTTGCGCTTTCCATCATTGTCATCTGAATCCTCGTCATCTCTCCCCAATGCAGAATGCGGCGAATGTAGTCTGGTCTTTTCAATCCTGCAGCTCGCTTGACCCAGTTCAAAGTTCGCTTGTCGAGTCCACGATTCCTGGAAGCGTACAGCGATTTGGACATTGCTTTGACAAAGTCGTGACCCACAAGATATTCTTCCTCCTCTTTATGAAATTCCTTGTACATTTGGTCTTCATCCATCAAGTCATCAAGAGGATTGGAATAGTAGCGTGCTCGGTATTCGACGTTTCGATCGGTCTTGACCATAAGGTTGCAAATGTCATCTTCGTCGAGAGCTGTTGTTGGATCAAAATCATTGAGATAAGATCTGATTGACTTGACAGTTGATTTGTCTAGATAATCAGGGAGATGTGAAGGGATTGGTGACGATTTGGAGTCGTCGTCATCACTCGTCTCCGCGCGTCGTCTTGACCCTCCGAAGAAGCACTGGTCAGATAATCATCATCGTCATCATTCCTTGTGCCTGCAATGGGAGCAGAAATACTTGTCCTATCTCGTCGTGGGGTTCTCAATGCATTGCTTTCTTCTTCAGTTTGTTTTGTTGCTTCGTCTTCTTGCTCCTCTGTCTCCCGTTCTGTGGCTGCCGACAGATCTACCTCAATGTAACCTTCATCCTCTGCTTTCTGATCGTTCTCGGCAGTTTTTTCGTTTGTGCTTGTCTCTTCTTTTGAATCTTGAGGTTCCACGTCCATGGCTTCAGTGTCCGCGGCATGAGTAGCTGGTTCTGGGGTGTCCTTAAAATCTTCGTCCTCCTTGACTAGATCTACTTCGCTGCTGATACCTTCACTGCCATAACCTTCTTCATTTGCAGTAACATCAATAGCCACATATTCTCCAGATTCTTTAACCTCCTCCATTTCCTTGGATTCTGCTTTGAGAGTGTCACCTGGAGCATTGTCCGTGGCGCCATCTTTGTCTTCTTCAGCCAACGGTTCGTCTTTGGTGGGATTAATGGTAGCATCATCAGTAGCAGTTTTCTCCGCTGTTTCAGCCGCCTCCTCTTTCACAACTTCTTGTTTCTCCTCATCAGCCGCTTCTTTCTCGTAGACGACTGTCTCGCTGTCCTTCTTTGTCGTTGCATCGTCCTCCATGGTTGGCAACGGCTTCAGAATGTTTGTAAAAGACGAAATGATCCACGCAGCCTGCAACTTATTGCCTGATCTGTCTGTATCTGTGCCGATCACGGATCGCAGCCTTAACCCTACCAACTCAATTCAATTCGTGGCTGAACTGGGTCACGGAGTACCGGTACCCCCATTGGCACTTCGAACTGCCCCCCGATCAGTTCGAATTTGATGAGCTACAATGCTCCACCTGTCGTTTGGATGCTCATCAAGTCAAACCACCACTGATGATTGCGACGATACCAAAAGCATTGGCATCAAAGCTATTATCCGTAGAATATCATGAGTTTAATGAGGCGGAGACGTTGTCGTGTGAGGGGGTCACTGAAAGCAATACTGCTCCACCTTGTGCTACCCTTGGTTGCAACCAGGGGGGATCCACTGCTGTCGTCATCAAGGAGGATACCCTGCACCAGTCCATCGTTTCATAATGGAGCCAAACAATCATGTCATCATTTCCTGGTGACAAGAGGTGGGGGCGATGATAATGATAATGATGAAACTCCCAAGAAAAAAGCATCTGCCAATATCTGGTCAGCCAACTCACTTCATCGGATGCACCAGGACTCACTATCATTTGGACTGGATGATATTAATATTCCAAAGGCAACCAACAGCAAACAGCAAGTTGAGAAGAAGAAAGCCGACAATAAAAGAGGGAACAAAAAACATCAACCTCAAGAATCAAGAGTGAAAGCAGATCCAAATCCAAAACTTGATACACAAGTTGACAGACAACAGCCTGGCAACAATACTAGGCCAGGACTGTTTCGGTGGCTTGGACTGGCTCAGCAAGGCGACAAACCATCAGGAGATAATGAAAATGCTGACACAAACAACAAAACTGGCAGAAAACAAGACACCGTTCCAGAGGAACCAGCCAACAAGTCCTCTACAACTACACCAGATCTAGCCAAGCTCTGGTGGGTCAATGTATGGGCACAGCAAACGGTTTGGCGGGGGGCCTCCTGCCGAGACAGTTCATTGGATTGCAGCCCTCCACCATGGCTCACATGATGTTGGTTCTTACCTTGCATCACTGGTCGTCCGAGAAGAGCCCCAAAGCGAATCACAGCGGACTACCAGTAGTACCTCTGGTGAGACTAACCCTCAATCAGCTGGACATATCTTGCGCCGTCAAATCGCAGCGGCTGGGAGTGTTCTTTCGACCATTGGCTACTGTTGTGGGAGATCTGCAGAGAGCGACATTACCATGCAAAACGGAGACGTACCCTTCGTCGACGTCGTTCTCGCTTCTGGCTTGTCGAATCGACAATCAGAAGTACCGTACTCTGAGCGAAATGGCGTTGTTAAAGACATGCTGGACGAGAGGACTGCAGCGGAGCAGGACCTGAAAGATTCCCTGGCGTTGCTTCGTAAGGAGTTTACAGGCCTTTCCTATGCAGCTGGCGGACAAAGGTCTTTGCTCGGCTAAGTCCATGTGCTAGGCGAAGTTGCGTCGCAGGCGAGGCGAGGTTTGGTCTTGAGTTTATGTTCAACCTTCTGCTGTAGTGCCTGAGTGTGGCATATTAATCTGCAAAGCCCCGTTATTCCATTGCAATTGACACTCTTCCAATTATCGAGCTTGCAAACACTCTCGACGACAAATGCAAATCAAACAGTCCTTTGGAGAAAGCCCATAGCAAAACTAATATCTTAATTAAAAAAGTTAACACCATTGATAGGTAGCTACTGGTACTGTAAGTATCTCAAAGGTTGTCCCCAAAGATAATGGTTATCCAGATGGTACATGTACTGGTACCGGTAGATGCCAGTACAGCTGCTATGGCACCGGTACCGTACGTCCGCTCCGAAAACCGAGGGCGGGTTTGGATCCGATTGCTTTGTGCTTAGCTTGTTTCTGATCCACAGAAAAAACGGAACACTGGATCCCAAAGCAACAATAATAATAGAGCAGCATTGGTTCTGGAGTCATAGTATTGGTTATTGGTTGGAAAGCAGCATAGAGTGATGTGGTTCTGGCCCTTGTCTAGACTGCACTCTTTTTGCGTCGGTGGGCTCTTTGTGAGAGGAAACATCATCCTTTATTTCACTTTGGTCTTGCTCCATTCCATCATGGGTTGGACGCACGGCTTCCAGCTGTCACAGAGAGCAACAACCCGAAGAAGACCCAGTTCGTTTCTGGGATCACGTCGTCAAGCATTCCTTAGGCCAAGAGATAATGGCTGGAATTATCCGTTCGGTGCTGCCACCACAGGCGGAAACAGATACTTTCAGCTGCCTCATTCCACTTTGGATGGTAATTGCTGGCCAAAGTTACCTCGGAATCGTGGTGGTGGTATCGTTCAAGGCCGAGGGAGAGTGCGACTGTTATCAGCAGTTTCCAATCCAGAACCTCTCGTTTCCGATCTACAGGAAGGCGAGGGTACTCTTTTGAACGAGCAATCGGATGGCGTTGGAATCAGCTTGATTGATCGGAATTCTCACAAATTGAACGGTGCAAATAATGAAAGAACTCAACCAAAGCTGCAAGAGGAACAGTTGTCAACTGCCTCGGCTACTCATGACGAAGAGCTTTTCAGCGATCTAAAAAGCCGCCCCGTCCCAGGTGGAAGCTGGAATCCAAGAGCGCCTTTGAAATGGGCAGAAGAGTTTGGACGTCGCTCTGAAGAAAACAACAATCGTTTACAATCACTGATACGGCTCAAAGAGGGAGACGAGGGTTACTTCCCAGTGGATCCAAATGAAACGGTTCCAGGAGTAACAATTGTCAGAACCAAAGAACAGGCCAAAATTGTTTTGGAAAAGTTGAACCAAGCGGATCCATCAATTTTTCACGCTTGTGACACTGAAGTGATGGACATTGATCTCAAGAAAGTTGGGCCTGTGGGGAACGGCTATGTTACCTGTATCAGTGTCTATTCTGGCCCTGAATTTGATTATGGGCTTGGAGATGGACCAGGATCCATTCTGTGGATCGACAATCTTGATGACGCTGCCGGTATTCTGCAAGAGTTCAAGGAGTGGTTTGAGAATGAAAATCATTTGAAAGTCTGGCACAACTACGGATTTGATAGGCACGTCATGTGGAACGAGGACATTGATGTACTGGGGTTTGGAGGGGATACTCTTCACATGGCAAGGCTGCAAGATTCTTCTCGTGCTCGATCAGGCAGTGGAAATGGGTATAGCTTGGAGGCGCTATCAGCGGACCTCTTGAATGACAAAGACGAAATGAAAACGTCAATGAAAGAGTTGTTTGGTGTCCCTCGTCTTCGCAAAGATGGCACAGAAGGAAGCTTGCTAGACATTCCACCCGTTGAAGTCCTTCAACGAGACCCCACCCATAGGCAAAAGTGGATCCAATACAGCTGTAGAGATGCCAAGAGCACTTGGCAAATACGACACATACTCGAGACAAAACTGAAAGAAGAAAAATGGGATGAAGGGAGCGATGAGAAGAATTCCAGAAACCTGTTTGATTACTACTTCTTGCATATGCGTCCATTCGGGGAAGTTTTAACAGATATGGAAAGACGGGGAATTCGCGTTGATGCTCATGACTATCTTGCCGGCGTGGAAGTTCAGGCCAGGGAAGATCGTAAGCATCACTCTGATCAATTCCGAAGGTGGGCCCAGCAGCAAATAGGAGCGGATGGTCTTGCGCTGAATCCGGCCAGTGCTATTCAACTCCAGACTTTTCTTTTTGGTGGGGCGATAAACATGAAGACAAAGGACAAAACAGAGATAACGAGGAAATTCAAAGTTCCCATAGAGGAAGTTCCTCAGGAGGCACTTGATGCTTACAAGACCCAGCCGAAGGAGCAAAAGAAAAGCGAAGAGCCCGAGGAGCAAGCGAACGATTTGGATGCAATGACAGCAGCGCAATTAAAAGATATTTGCAAAGAACGTGGACTCAAATTAGGGGGGAACAAAGCACAACTCAAAGAGCGATTGACGAAGCATTTGTGTGGTGTCACGGAAAGTGAAGGCGACGCTGGCACATTCGAGATTTTGGCAGATGCATTGGCTGAAACCGAGTTGGCCGCATTAGATACACTGACAATAAGCCAATTAAAGCCTCTGTGCAAGGAACGAGGACTGAAGGTTGCAGGGAAGAAAGCCGAACTGATCGAGAGATTAAAAACGTACAAACCACCGGATATTCCTGTCGACAATCCGAGTGCCAAAGGGAAGTTGGACGCCGACGATGATCTGGATTCGATGACAGAGAATGATCTACGAGATTCCCTTGTGGCCAGGAGTCTGCCTAAGCACGGCAACAGAGATGACTTGTTGCAGCGTCTTAGGGATGATACCAGATATAAAAATGCTTTGGTGGCGGAAAAGAATCCCCAGGATAGGGAGGACTACGTTGCTCTCAGCGACGCCTTGGAAGCGGCGACGAAAGTTGAAGGAAGCAAGCTCAGTGAGTTTATCGCCGATGTGCGACAGAAAGCACAAGCTGATCCCAAGCACATAGACGTGACTGTGACGTCAATTGGGCTGGAACCGATCAAGTTTACCGCGGGGGGATCCCCTAGTGTAACTGCTGACGTGCTGAGGACTCTTGCCGGGGACCCGTTTGCAGATCCTCCCAAATACGGAACAGTAAGTTGCCCTGTTTTTGCTGTCGACGAGCAGCTCGACGTTGCACACTCACATTTGTATTCTTGCAGGCATACGAACGATTTGGCAGTGGGCAAGCTGGCCATGATGCGTGTGTAGCACTTTTCAGTCTCTGTGCCATTGGATCAATTGACACTATGATTGCAAACTTTTTGACCAGCCTTCAGTGTCTCGCAGATGAGAAAGAGCGAGTTCACGGAAGTTTGAATCTCAACACCGAGACTGGGCGACTTTCATCGCGTCGACCCAATCTGCAGAATCAACCCGCATTAGAAAAAGACAAATACAAAATTCGGCAAGCATTCCAGGCATCACCTGGGAACAATCTCATTGTGGCTGACTATGGTCAATTGGAGTTACGTTTGCTCGCCTCCATGACTGGTTGCAAGTCGATGATCGAAGCGTTTGCATCTGGAGGAGACTTTCATTCACGAACTGCTTTGGATATGTTTGACTACGTTCAGGAGAAAGTAAAGTCTGGAGAATGCCTCTTGGAATGGGACTACGCAAATGGAGACCCACCAAAGCCACTGCTCAAAGACCTGTTTGCCTCTGAGCGTCGAAAAGCAAAAACTCTCAACTTCTCTATTGCTTATGGCAAGACTGCTCACGGTCTGAGCCAGGATTGGGGCGTGGAGCGCAAAGACGCCGAGGAGATGTTAAATGCCTGGTACAACGCAAGACCTGAAGTCAGGGACTGGCAAGCCGAGAGAAAGAGAATCGCCCGCGAAAAAGGATACACGCGCACTTTGATGGGTCGAAAGAGACAACTGCCCGAAGCCATGGGTAAGATTCCCAAGCTGCAGGGGCATGCCGAGCGTGCTAGCATCAACACACCGATTCAAGGAGGAGCCGCCGACGTTGCAATGATGGCAATGAACAAGATCAACCAAAGCAAGAAACTGGAGCGGCTTGGATGGATCTTGTTGCTCCAAATTCACGACGAAGTCATCTTGGAAGGCCCGGAAGAAACGGCCGAAGAAGCCTTTGACGCGGTGATTGAATGTATGCAGGAACCTTGGGCCCTGGGCCTTCCACAAACTTCAGTTCCCTTGCTCGTGGATGGGTCCTGGACTCACAAGAATTGGTACGATGCCAAGTAGGTTCGATTCGGCTCTTGTGAAGTGCGTTCAAGAGAGTGGTTCTGAATAGCGGGGTGGATCGTGTACTCCTACGTACAGTAGGTACTCGTACCGGTACCGGTACGACCTACTAGCTAGCTTCCAAGATGCTAGTAGGGCATCTTCCGCACACGTGCGACTGTACCAGGTACCATTTACATGTAATATAGCCAGCTATCATATTTTCGATTCCGAGCCCATGCAACGAAACGCTGAATGATGCAACGATGATGCTCCTTCTTTCCTGTACATGTTGCGACTGGAAAACCTAACTCGATAGCATTGCCTGACCACTGTCAATGTCCATGAGTTTCTAGCTATTTTAATAGTCAGATAGCCAGCTATTATGATAGCCAGCTAGTATGATAGCTATCGTATGGCCCCTCTCTGAACCAATACGGTAGGGTGCAGATGCCAGGACATGTACATGTACGCATGTAAAACTAAATACTGTACTACTATTTTTAAAAATAGCTTGTATCTGCGGTACGACTATCCTTGCTCACTTGCTACCAGGTAGCTGGTTTCTCTGGAAATGTGCTGCTCTGATGGCTTGTATTTCGTCTCCTGGAGACGATTTGCTTTAGGGGTAATGGTACCGATGGGGGCAGAGGTTTGAATTATACCCGGCGCGCATTACTTAGAAGGCCCTGTAGAAGTCTACGTATTCGACTAGTATTGTATTGACGGGATACAGTCAACGCATGTACATGCACATGAAAGTCGCCTTGCGTTCTTCACATTTTAAAAGTTGGCTCCTAATTTTTCGGGGTCACCTGTGATTTGATTGGACGCTTGATTTTTTTTCAATGACTGACATTGAATGACGTACGTGGTGCAATGTGAATCTCAGAAAGGTAGTTGTAGTAATAAAAGTTTTTATATATAGATTAATTTACCATATATCCCTAACGTTTATACTTATAACAAAAACCCGTCTTCTCGCTGGAAAATTTCATCGTATTGATTTTCTCCTAGGACAGAAAGCCAAATAGTATCCTTAATTCTTGCAAGCATGTCTCTCTTTCGTTGTGGCATGGCAAAATTCTTTGGATCCCAATCCAGCCTCTTCAATAAGAACAAACCACTCATGGTTCGCTCCCTTGATAACACCACGTAAGCCCAATTTTGACAGTATCGCCATGAATGTACCATTAACCACACTGCAGTATATCCCTGTATTTTGTGTCCAGTTGTCGCAGGATTGCTGATAATCGGGAATTGCTTACCCTTCATCTTGGTTTTTACAACTTCTCCGTCATAGAACAATCTGGTACTGAAAGTTTAGTCTTTCTCCGTTACATAAAAGTACGTGGCATAATGGTCTCCATTTCATGTTCCACTAGGATAGATTTGACTTGAACTGAGAAAAAAGCCCGAATCTTGCAGCCGTTGTAGAGTGAATGATCATGGGGGTGCAACCAACCCTCACATTCACCTTTCAAACAAAAAGCCGAGATCCATTGGCTTATCCATTAGGAACATTCGTGTTCCCTGTAAACATTACAGGACACCCCTTATAAAACTTCAAAGCAGGATCAACACGTTTTCGTGAGTCCCAACCGGGTTTTAACGAGTACTCTCCACATGTTGAAAAGAAATGCTTTAAAACCGAATTGATCTTAAAAGGAACCAGTGTCCCTGATTGATTGGCCATTTGAAGAAAGTCCATGAAAATGAGTACTTCATCCATCAGCACGGAATAATCAGCAGGTTTGTTCTTTCCGCAAAATTCTTCGAAGTTAGCTGAGTTAATGGCATTTCGATCTCGATTCAGATATGTAGCAACTTGAATGTTCGCTGGTGGAACATGGGTTGGGCCAACCACGCAGGCGTCATGGATGGTCTCAATATCTTCTTCTGTTGGTTGCCCTTCACGGAATCTTAAAAAGCGTTGCCCATTCATGATCGTCTTTGAAGCCGTGCATTCCATCTAACTCATTAAATGAATTCAGAGAGTAATGAAATTCAGGAATGGTGTGCTGAAGAATGTAAATTGGGGGGCGTCCTACTGGTTCAAGTTGAGAGTAGTACCCCGTGAACACCAAGTTAAGTCCCCCAAATGGTTGGTATTTGTCTTGCATCAAGGTCTTGGTGTAGTTTAATATCTTCACTAAGTCATGTTCCCCCGCGAATGAAATTTCGTTGATGATAAGCATCCGTGTGTCACTCCATTCTTCTACCATGTTCTTCGCCACACTTTCTCGAGTTCTGTTCAATCCCTCAGCTGAATGCGTTGTTTTCCCATGCAGTATTGTAGCAACAACCCCCGACATAGCAGTGACAACAATGGTTCTGTCGTTAAATGGATGATCGATCAAACTGCAGAATTCTCTGCCATAGGCCATGACTAAGTCAATTACGGTAGTCTTCCACTTCCTCCAGGCCCATGTAGAAAAAGAATCAGTTGGGTGCCACGACTTCCTTTCAAAATCAAAAGGTTTAAGAGAAAGTCGGAATTTTGCCTTCAACCCCATATCCGGGACTCCATCCTATAAGTCCACCTTTTCAGCTTCCTCATAAAATTTCAACAAGAAGGCTGCAATTATACACTCGAAAGGCCTTCTCTGTTTGTCGTCCAGATTGGCAGCCGTTGCCCAGTCACGTATACTTCTCACGCTTCCATTCGCCTGCGACACTTCAACCTGCGGATTGTATTTAAATACATTTGCCCTTTGGATGCTCTCCCGTTTGTTAAGTAGAACTTCAATGTTCTTGTGATATCGAGGTGTTGGCGGTTTCACTTTGCTTTTCTTTGTAGTGCCAGTCGTGTGAAAGTCAGCACTTATGGTTACAAATTCGTCTTCATCTTACGAATTCTCAGGAATGGGTATCTGCACGTTGTATCCTGCGTTGTTGCTTCCATTGTGACGTATAGCCGTAAATCTAAGACCATCAAATGTGCTTCCCAGAAAGTCCCGGTTTGAATCTGTTGTGTCCTGGCTCTCAAGATCACGTACATATAAGAAGCGCATTGTAGGTAATTCTGAAAATGAGACCTCAGGTCTCGTTTGGAAAGCACATCCCAACCTCTCATTCCGAACCAAGTCCAAGTTTCCAATTAGGCAACCGGTTCTCCAGGTTGGGAAGTGACGTACTTTACTATCTACTACTGGCAGGGGAACAACTTCAGTACGTGGTATGTTACCCTTTGTGCCATTGGTGTATCCAACCGTTAAGTCAATGTCTACTAAAAAGAAGTCACATCGCCATCCGTTTCTGGATGGTCAGAACATGAAGAATGCATTCCTAACAACAATAGATCCTGCTCAGAGGGGCTATTAATCGCTGAGGCGTTACCTACCAAATGGGACCTGCAGGTGGACAAGTTTCAACTAAAAACAGCTAAAACGAGATAAGACTAGTATAAGAGTGGGAATATCAAAATGCTAGTTTGTTAACGCTAATCCAATAGAGCAGTAGTGAGTCACAAAAAAAGAGGAGCACCGTAAAAGATCCTCATGGTGAAAGGGGTGAAAAGGGTGAAAAAGGCTACCAGATGGGCAACCACCACCGACCGAATTAACAAGATCAGCAAGAGGAAAGGGAGGCAATGGTTACCGAAAAAGCACCGGAATGCTTCCGAACAGAGAGAATTGGGCAACAAATTTCTCAAAAAAGCCCTGCCAAAAAGAAACAAGGGGAATCAAAAGGCGGCCAAGGGCTTCCCATTCAATGGGGCATTGGCTGCAAATTGACAACCTGGAAGGTCCCTAGTCACAGTCCACCCAATCATCGTAGGAACGCTTGCCCTTCTTCTTCTCCTTGTTCACGGCATCCGGATCGGGCTGGTGTGCTTCCTTTCCACAATATTGCAACATCATTTCAGCATTTGTTGTTCTGCATGTTGGGCATTGGGCTTGGCACGGGCATCCTGAACCTCAATCTTGATGGCATTGTAGCGCCTTCGTCCTGCATTGGACCAACCTTCATACTTGGCATTGCCCATCTTGGAGTTTGAGTACTTGGTAGAAAACTTTTTTGTCTCCGAGTCATTGCTGCTCTTGGGGGCAATCCATTTCTTTCTGCCACAGTCATTGTTTCCAGGCTGGAAGCAGAGGTTCCTTCTGGTGTAGGAGTTCTCGTAGATGAGGAGGGTCATTGCATCAGATCCGGGAGGAACACGCAGCTTTCCCTTCCCCTTGGCCCAACTAATCAACTGGTTGTGGCGGATTGAATCCCTAAACCAGCTGGATGCAACAGCAACACATGGTAAAAGCTTCTCCGTGTAAAGGGAATAATGCAGCTTGATTTCCTTACGCGCTGCCTTTTCTTGGGCACTGGCATCTTGGGCAAGGTCTTCAAGAGGGACCTCA